ATATATATATATATATATATATATATATATATATATATATATATATAATTTTCATGATCTGCCTATAGTCCTGAGGACATTTATTTTCACATATGAAGTCTTAAAAGTGAATGCAGTCAAGGGTAGAATTCATTCTGCCCTGAAACTCTCTCTGCTCTCAACAAGCTGGTATTAACCAGTCCTGTGTCAGTACATGAAGCTGTCCTGGCATCAAGCTGTTTATCCTGTCTAGGAAAGCTGTGGGGCCAGAATTCTCGTAACTTTACCTCTCGGTACACACATGCAAACACACACACGATATGTATATATTTCACACACATGTACACACACATTCACACTCACACACAGAAATATATATATATATATATATATATATATATATATATACATATATATATATACATTACACATATGTACACACACAAACACACACATACAAACACACACAAGACACACACACACTCCAAACCCATGCTGTAAACTACATTGTATCCCCAGGCTTGCCCAATAGACCAACTGTGTCAGTCAGGTCCTTTCCATCAATAAGCTTGTCACAGAGGCTCTCCACTTCTCAAATGCCCTTCACTGTGACGCTCTTACCCCACCGGATGTCACCTCTCACATTGCTCAGCAAGTTCATCGAGGGTGGTGACTATTTCTCCTGAGTTAATCTTAATTTTGAGTTGGAAACAGAACAGTTTGGAGGTTTTGTTTGCTTGTTTGCTATCTAGCTGAGCCTTCTTGGAGTGTTAGGCTTAAACAGAAACAGTGATCTTCCCAGGCTGGTGCCCAGACCTGGGTGAGCACCGCTTGAGAGAGCATTAGAAGAGCAGCTCTCAAAACTGACTCCAAAGCCAGTAACTCTGGAAACCTGGAGGTAGGGCTCAGTGCTCATGTCCCCAGAAGCTCTAGTGCAGGAAGTTTGAGAGTCTGTGCTACACTTGATCCTACACAACAGACACTCAGAACTCTTCCTCCAAAGTCACTTCTAAGCCTCAGTGAAATCTCTTATCTGTGAGCCCCAGTGATATAAAAACATGAAGTTCCAATATATCTCAGCACAGAGAAAAAAGGCTCTCATTACCAAAAAGAGAAAGGGGGAGGTGGTGGGTCTTGTGCTGGGCGGGGGGGGGGGGAGAAGTGACTGGACCAAAACCACACTGAAAGTCAGCAGGGGAAACACCAAACCTGGCATCTCCATGTTTGGCATATACAGTTTGTGATGGCATCGTCTGTGTTCCAATAAGCTTGCCAGCATTGGCTTGGCATTTCTTGCCACCCACAGCACATGTGACCTCTCTCTTGGGCCAGCTTCACTCTGGGCCTGACATTTCCCATACTGTCACCTTCACAGCTCACGCAGTTACCTCCAGGGACTTTTTGCAGAGAATATGACCCAGTCACATATGGCCTGGCTTCAGCAGCCTTTCTGATGCCGGGAAGAGGGAATGAAAATCTACAAGACACCATCACAGTCTGGACTCAAGTGTTTAGGGCTATGTAAGAAGTCTTCAGAAAATGCTATTTCTCCACAGACTATGGGTGGGGTGTGTTCAGGAACTAAATGAAGAGATGGTAGGAGGAGGGAACTACATAAGGACAGCCATGTTTGTTCTTCCAACGAGTTCCTCGTGAAGCAGAAACCCAGGAGACATGCACTTGTGAACACCCCCAGATCATCTGATTGTGGGAACCCCTTCCTATCCTTCCTCTGTGGTACTGGTGCCTGGTTTCAAAAATGACTTTCACATGTCTTTGATCTCGACCTAATAACCAAAGAATAAATACCCTCTGCTCAAGCTACCTGATGCACCACTCCTAGTCCTGGATGAGCCCTAAGTGGGGGACCTTTTAAATGGGATGACAGTTGTAGAGCCTGGAAAGGGAAGCCAAGGCACAGAGACAATGCTCTGCCTCCCTCATCAAAGTCCATTTGAAGTCCAGAGCTGTGGTGTTTGCTGCCCCTTAAGTCACAGTAAATCATTTCTCTATGGAGGACAGCAGGGAGACTTACACAGCTCCTTAAAGTCAGCTGTGAAGATCCACACAGCTCCCCTCTTCCCTTTCATGGCCAAGATGGTGTTTTTATCCTTCGCTCTTCCAGAAGAGGGTGCTAGCAGGCACTGGCAGGGCATATGGGTTGGTCAATACCTCCAATTACATGAGCTGAGATTCAGGCCTGGTGATAGAGGCAAAAATAGAAACAACAGAAGCCAAAACAGTTGTGTCTGTCTGGGCCGCCAGCCATAACCATGTGTGATCAGAGTCAGAATGGACCAAACAATGCTTGGTAAAGGGTCCCTCAGACCTACTCTGTATTCTAATAGCAGGCAGCTACCTGCAGCCCTTTCAGGACACACAGGCCAGCTAATTTTGATAAGCCTTACTAGCTCAATGGCTGGAAACTTCCAAACCTTCCCGAGGCTAGCACACACTCCTTTCTAGTATTCCTGAGATAATATCTTTTAAAATCTATATTTCACCTCTGTTATTCCAGACTCAATCGAGGAGTGGCCCTTAGGGACACTTTCCTGGATTCTTACATGTTGGTGGGCTTTAACTCTGCTTTCTGTGCCTGGTGACTCTGTCCTTCTTCCCCACTCTGTAGGTCCCTTCCCTGC